CCCTGGTGCTGCAGTACTATCCCTCATCAAGTAAATAGCCGCCCCCCGCCCTTCCCCCACCCCCCCGCCACACCGGGGAGACAAGGGAGAAGGGAGTCCTACCTGCCTGCCCTTCCTTCCTTCCACCGTGATGGGTGAAGCCCAGTCCTAAGTGCATGGGGATGGTTGGGTGGCAGAGCTGCCACAGGGGCAGCTGTGGGACCCACAGGGGTCCTTCCCCTCCCCCTAGGTGGCCCATCCTGTTCTTTTGGGTCCTGTGTACCCATCAGTGAGGAGGGTGGTTCGGTGCTCGCAGGCTAGTGGGAGACAGGGTTCAACCAGCTGCCTCGGCAAGCCCCACAATCTATGGTCAAAGCCCCTCCAAAGCTGGAAATAAGGGGGAACTGTATCCATAACCAGAGACACGCATGTTTAGGGCTGGTCCTGAACTCAAAGCATGGGAAGGGAGGAGGATGCTTGAGCAGGGCACGGCCAGAAGGCAGGCGAGCAGGTGGGCATGGGAGCTGGGAGAACTGGGTGGGGCCAGTGAGGGGTGCGGGCACTGGGACCTGAGAATTGGGGATAGAGGCTTTGGCAGGAGCCTGAGTTGATCCCCACCCTTCAGCTCCCCCTTGTTCCCCCCCTCCAACCCCCACAGTGAAGGGCAGTGAGCCATGGACCCTCAGTCAGCCCTTGGGTATCTCTGTGCTGCCCCTCAAGGGTCGTTTGTATCGCAAGCTGCTGTCCGGGAAGGGCCCGATCGGGCTGCGTGTGGAGCGTCTTCCCATCACGGTGAGTCTCCCCACTGCCCACCGCCCTCCGTGGGACAACTCAGTTTCCCAAACAGCCACTGTCGGGGCTCCTAACGGGGAGGATGACAAGGCACGGTTCACCTGGGTGAAACGTGGCCTGACCGCTGCTCTCTCCTGTCCCCAGGACACCCACCTAAAAACCGTCAGTGGAGAGCCCCCCACGGTGGATCTCTCTCTCCAGCTGCACTCCTCCGAGGTAAGGCCGCCCAGGGTGTGTGTGCAGGAAAACGAGGCCTGCAGGGTGCAGGCTCCAACACTGTGACTCCGAGGCCCTCCCTGATGGCTGACCTTAGTCAGGGGTTAGGGGCCAGGGCTGGGGGGGCGGGGGGAGTGGGTGCTGCTCCAGATGTGCCCGAGGGTAAGTTGAGGCACCAGGGAACCCGAGAGGAGGTTGATGCATGATTGTTAGAGGTCTAGTTGCTGCCAATATTCTTCCGACGATGTGATGCTTGGCCCGGTAGACAGAGTAGAATGAACCCTGGGGCTTTGTGGGGGTGGGCGTGATCCCAGACCTCCCACCTGTAGAGCTGTGAGTCGTTTGGATCGCCCTTAACCAGTGCACCACCAGGGCTCCCTGCAACCCAGAGAGATTAGGAGGAGCACAGAGGACACCCAGACTTGGGAGTGTGCTCCAAACCAGGCGTGGCTCTCTGAGACCCAGGGTCTACATGGGTGAGCGGCTCTGTGGCTGGGCTACACATGGCCACAAGCACGCAGCTTTAAGCAGCAAATGTTCGTGGGCTCCTGGTTCAGAGCACAGCGCAGCAGCGGCCGGGGTCTCTGTTCAGGGTCTCTCCAGGCTGGATCAAAGGTGTGGGCAGGGCTGCGTCTGTTCACTCCTGGAGGCTCCGGAAAAGGGTCCACTTCCAGGTCCATCCAGTTGTTGGCAGAATGTTACACTTGGGTTTGTAGGAGCGCTCTTCTCCCCGGGGGCTGACACCCCTTCTCGCAGGGCCCCTCCATATTTAAGCCCTCATGCCTGACGAATCCCCCTCTCTCTGGTTCCCTCTTGGCGTCAGCAGTCAGAGAGGATGCTCTGCTTTTAAAGGGGTCCATGTGATGAGGTTAGGCTCACCCCAGTAACCTCCCTGTCAACAGGCCACATGGCAGTCATAGCAATGACGTGGTGACAACGTATTCACAGGTGCTAGGGACTAGTGTGCAGAATCAAAGAGGTTGGCTTTCCCGTTTCAGTCTTCTGCCTACTGTGGCTAGGTTGGCTTGGTCCTAGTGAAAAGATACTTGGGGGAGTCCTATGGGGACCCTGTTCCCGGTCATCGGCTCTGGAGTACCCGGCCAGTGTTTCCCACTTTCTGCTCTGCGGTGCTGACCCTCCGAGTCATGAAGTTTGGAATGGACACACTTTAGGACCATGGAAACTGCCAATGGCTGGAAGGGCCGATATCTGAGCCATCCCACTCCTGCTGGCATCCCGTGCCAGACACCAGCCACCAGCTCGGGGATAATACTTGATCCTGGAACCTCCCCCAAGGAAGAACACAGGCGGTCCTTGTGTTGAAGATGAGAGGAGGGTCTAGCCAGATGCCAATCCCAAAGAATGTTGCCACAGGCCTCTTGTGAGTTTCTGAAATCCCCCCACGGGGCGGGGCGTGCCAGGCTGTGGCAGGTCAGCCTGGCCCTCTGAAGACAGCTGGGAAATCCTGGGCTGCAAAGAGTTTGTCAGACACCCCAGACTCTGATCCTGTCCCCTCCCCAAACTGGATGCTGGAACAAGAAGGTGCTCAGAAGGGAGGATGCTGAAGATGGGAAGGATTCTGCCATGGATGGGGGAGCAGAGGCCTTAGAGGAAAATGTCATGCACACCCCCCAGAGCAGAGCCCAATCCTCACGGACCTCTGCCCAGAGTTTAACTTCTACCAATGGCCACTGCCTTCTCACCACCCCCAACAACCCCCACCCCTGCTGCCCCTACCCCCTTCCCTGGGACCCATGTGGCCCAGGGACTGAAAGGAATGTCAAGTGCCCTGGTCAGGGGGCTGGGGGACTCAGGCAGGCAACAGGCAGGTGGGCAGGACACTCCCCAATTGCCCAGGGGCTGGGCCCCAGGTCTGTGGCGATGATGAATTATTCACCGGAGCTGTGCTAAGTGCAGAATTAATCCCTTTCCTTCCAGCTGGCGGCCTCACTAAATTATCCCTCGAAGTCATGCGGGAAAACGCTGCCGAATTCATTTCTGCGCTGAGTGTTTTGATCTGGGCCTTGTGATTTCAGCTCCCCCTTCCTCCAGCCCCCCTCCCGGTGGAGGCGGGTAAAAGAAAGGGAGGGGGGTCGAGGAGCGGAAACTCTTTTAGTAATGGATTTCTGAGAAGAAAGGAAAAGGAATCAAGATTGGGTGTGTACCAAGAAAATAGCACAAGCGGAAACTCAGCATCAGATTCAGAAATTAGATTCTGCTGCCAAGAATTCACACACACACAGGTTCCCCACGCACCCACATCCTCAAGCAGTTGCATCTGAACATCCCCACTTAGACAGTCTAGTGTGTGCAAATACACACTTACACACACGTGCACCTCATCCTCAGATACTCACATGCAATCTGACATACCCACATGGGCTCACACACAAGCTGCTGGCTCCTCTCGGCCCTTTCTTGGTGAAGTGACTTGAGAATTTGCCAATAACTAACTCATTGGGTGCCAGAATCTTGCAGACCCACTTGGGGGCCTGCGTGTGAAGTGCTGATGTGGGTGGACTTGGCACAAGGTTCTTCTTGAAGCCTCGGTGCCCATTCATTCATTCCCTCATTCCACACAGAGCTGGCGAGGAGGAGCCAGGCACTGTGCCACGCAAGAACTAGAATTTGGGCTGCCAATGGGCCCCGTGGAGCCCACCTGCCTGAATCCACCAGCGCTGGGTTCGGCTAGCTTCTGAGCCCTTTCGGCACTCCTCCTAAGGGGGATGGGCAGGAGAATGTTGAGAATTGATGAGCCAAGTGTGTATGTAGTGTTCACTGGAAACCCAACTGGCTCTATAGACATTCACCCAAATCACACACACACACACACACACACACACACAGGATTGCAGCCTTGAAACTCTCTGGGGCGGTTACTCTGTCCTATGGGGACAAAGTCAACTCACCAGCTATGGGTGAGGAGTGGTTTGCAGTCCCGTGGCGGAAGGTCTCTGACCTCCGCCTCTGCTTCTAGGAAGACAAGAGGAAAGTCCAAAGCAAGAGGCCTGTCTTAACTTGGGGACAACTTAACGCAGAGGGTCGGCACAAACAAAGGAACCCTTCGTTGAGCTGGGTTGGCCCTGTAGCCACCCCCATGTGCTCAGTCAGGGAGCAAGGTGCAGGACGGGCAGCGTTTAGTTCTGTCACCCACCAGGTCGGTGTACGTTGATGGCAAATGGCAATTAGCAGCCACCCCAGCCACAGATGGCCAGGGAGGGGATCATGAAGGGGTGGGGTCTGAAACTTAAAACCAGAGAAACCAGGCCAGGCACAGGAAGATCCAGGGAGGAAATGTTCCAGACAGAAAGAACAGGAAAAGAACAAACCGCCCATGTTCCAGGGACAGCGAGCAAGAGAAGGAAGCTGGAGTTTGAGACAGGACTGGGCACGTGGACTCGGCGCTCAGGACAAAATGCCTTGGATCCCTCTGGCTTTTCTGTGGATTACAGGCCATGGAACAAGTGCCGAGAGGCTCAGGCCAAGGTCCAGTTAAGAGATGAAGGGGCTTCGGACCAGGGCAGAAGCGGTGGAGATGGCGAGAGAGAGTTGGTGTTAGGACTTGTGCAGAGAAGCATCAGCCCCACTCCCCCAGTCATCGCTGGTCACACCCGGAGTTGAGCATGAGCTTTCCTGCTTCCCCGTTTGCATCCACACACATTCTTCCCATTGGCTTCTCAGCGGCAAGGAACGCTGGGAAGGTGCTCCAGGAGGGATTCTCATCCTTCTTTGATGGCTAAGGAGACAAACGCTTCTATGGAGGAGGTAAAGGACATGGTGTGCCCAGTGCCCTGTGGTTGCTGAGCCTAAAACCCAAACTGAGCAAATCATGAGGGAGCCGGATTCTATGAGGAAGAATGCGGCATCGGGATTAGAGGAAGGCTTATTGACAACCTGCTACAGGCAGATGACACTAGCTCGCTTGCTAAAAGTGAGGTGGACTTAAATCAAAGCCCTTGCCGATGAAGATCAAGGATTGCAGCCTTCAATGTGGATTACAGTTTCCATGCAAGCAAAACCAGAATCTTTACCACTGGACCGATAGGCAACATCATGGTAGACGGAGACACCCTTCTTCTGCCTCTTAGTAACTCCTCTCAGCTAGATTGCTGTTGCTCCCACACCCCCAGGATCTCTATGTCCTCCCTGCTGTTGATTTAATTCCCTAGTTGTTCCCTCTCTATGGCGTTGTTTGCTCGCTGCTCCCTTCTACCGCCGCCTCTTCCCCTCAAGTCCCTCTGGGACCGTCGGTCCTATTGCTTTCTCCTCCGGCTTGCTTCCCATGCCTATCTTATGTAGGTAGGCAAACCAACAATGAGCCACGGCATTTTAAGGCATCTTACATTCATGCGAAAGCCGGACATTGAAGAAAGAAGACTGACGAGAAAGGAAACCCGACGCATTTGAACTCTGGTGTTGGTGAGGAATGTTGAAAATACCACAGACTGCCCAACAAACAGGTCTGTCTTGGAAAAAGCTCCTTAGAGGCAAGGATGACCTTTTCCATTAACAATCGAATGCTTCCCTCTCTGGGCCCCCTGGCCTCAACGATCAATTCCACCACCATTGCCAGCAAACATCGCTTCAGGGTCCTGGAGCCACGGACTGAAGCCTAGAGAACATGGCTTGTGATAGTGACCTCTGGTGGCCTCGTCCTCTCGGTTAGCAGCACCAGCTCCAGGGCTCTCCTTGCACACGGTGCTGCAGGAGACATGAACATACACATGCTAGCTGGACACCCCCCCCCCAGCTTAAGGATGCAGTCTCTCCCCTGGAACCTCCACTTGCAGGAGGTTTGAGCACAGGCTGTCCTGGTTAATCAGGCACTTGGGTGAACAAAGCCTCCCCCTACACAACTCTTCCACCTCACCCATCCCGAGAGCTCTAGGAACAAAGGCACTGGGATTTCCAGTTAGGCAGAGACTGCCCTGGATGGGAATCTCCTGTAACAGCTGCCACGTGTGGACATTCCCAGCCCACCCTTCTGCTCAGCTGGGACC